CCAATAATGTTTCTGTTTACAGAGAAGAATAACATTTTGTAAATAACCTATGACTAATAATGTATGAAAAGTTACGCCAAAAAGTGGAGGAAAGTATGGCATATTCAAAGTCTGGGCCTGGGAAAAAGAAGTAAAATTACTTCTCTACTTCATACCACTCACAAAAGTATATATTAGGATTAAGCACACACACACACACACACACACACACACACACACACACATATTTTTAAAAGCTTGAAGAAAATATAAAAAATTATTTTAAAACCCCAGGGTGGCAAAAGTCTGCCTCAGCATGAGCCCAAACCTAGACACCCTAAAGGGAAAGGCAAAGTGATATGACTACCTAAAAATGTAGATCATCTACAGAAAAGGACAACATGAACAAAGTTACATGAGGTAAGAGATGCATGGAAAGATACACGTGATATATTTTAAGTGAAATAGAAGTTGCAAAACAGAGCAATGAAATGTGAGTTCAATTTCTGATAAAAATGTGAATACGGGGGCGCCTGGGTGGCTCTGGGGTTAAAGCCTCTGCCTTCAGCTCAGGTCATGATCCCAGGGCCCTGGGATCAAGCCCCACATTGGGCTCTCTGCTCAGCGGGGAGCCTGCTTCCCTTCCTCTCTCTCTGCCTGCCTCTGCCTACTTGTGATCTCTGTCTGTCAAATAAATAAATAAAAATCTTAATAAATAAATAAATAAATGTGAATACGTATATCATTTCTGTTCGTATGTGCACAGAACACATTAGACTGGTAATAGTAGGTAATTGCAAAGATGGGTAAGAAGGGGGCAGTTTTACATTTTATTTTATATGTTTACCTGTTTTCGTTTTTAGTAAGCATGATTCATTTCTGTGGTTTAAGAAAACACAGCAAAGAAGATTAAAATTGAGCTCATTGTGAAAAATAACTCCTCAAAATGCTGGTAACTCTTAAATCTGTCTCAAAGTGGTAGTCAAATGCCCAGCTGGAGGCATAATGTTGTCTACCTGTCAACAATAAGTCAATGCAGAGCCTATGCTATGGCCTTCTTCCCCAGACACTAGTTTTCCCCTCTCTACGTTGAACTAATATATCTGGAACATCTATCAGCAATATAAAAACAGTTGAAAAACAGTTCCAGGGTGTTACTGATATCGTAATACTTCCCTGATTATATACATATCCACCTAAACAAACATAATCACGTATGTGTGATATGCATTTATAGACCTGCACAAGTCATGATATTCAAAACATAAAGATTTAACCTTTATATTGGAAGAAAATCAACCAGAATTTACTGAATTTTCATTGGTGACATGGTGTGATTTAACACTTCCAATTTTCAGGTATAGATTACAAGGGCCAGCTTAACAAAAGGTGAAAACTGATGATGTTAAATAGTAACTGATTATAAGGAATCATTGTCCAAGTCAGTTCAAATGGATTTCTGATTTATAAAATATTTTAAATGCTGTTACTTTTATTTGTTCTTGCCTAAATTCCATTTTTCTAATATCAAAAAGAAAATCAATTTAACTCATTTTAAATGATAAAAGAAAGTAAAAACTAAAAGTTTTCCTTTATGAATCCATGTCATTATGTCTGGATTGTCATTAGAGCTTATCAAAAGAAAGTCACAAAAATTGGTGTGAACACAGTTAAATCACATTTCAGTGAACAGAAGACTGAAATGGAAATAGAAAAAAGTACTTGAAGAGATGACAATTCATTTTGCTTGGTTTAAGAAAAATTTAATAACAAATTGTCATTACTCATCAAACAAAAATAATCCAGAAAAGGGAGAGACTAATCAACATTTAGGGAAGAATGCACTGCAAATACTAGTTTCCTCCTATTGTTAAAGTATACATCTCTCAAACTCCGTATGAAAGCTAATTGATAATACATCTTTATAGCTATAAAATTGCCATGCACTGATACTCTGCCCCTGTCATGGGGGTATCCAAACAGACAAAATTTATATTTGTTTCCAGGGAGAAATATGCTCTAACTATTGAATACAAGTATTTGATTTCAGCAACTAGTCAATCCCCCCAGGAGACATGGATTCACCAGGCTCTCCTGCTTTGACAGCACCAACATCTAGCTAAGTCAGTTTGCCCTGATTCCCTGAGCATTAAATAAATAATCTTCTGATAATAATTTGGTTTCTGAGATAGAGTGATGTTAGAGAGAGAACATTCTGAGCAGCAAACACTAAGAATTTGATCTACTTGGCAACGATTTTTCTCACAGTAACAGAAATGATCACTCTTTTTTTATTTTCAAAAAGAAATTCTGCCCCACCTGATAATATGTCCCTTACTCTGCAAACTTAGAAATGCTCAACAAACGGGGAACTCTGTGCCCAGACAAAGATCTTGCATTATTACACTTACCCTTTCAGAGGTCAACAGGGCCAGAGAGTTACACTAAAGCCCAATCTCAATGGTGGACTGAATTATATGTGCATGAACCTGTAAGGATAAAGATACCCCTCCAATAGGGCTTCCTGCACTCCCCACCTCCCTTCTCCCTCCCCCCAGGCCTATCCTCAAACATGCATTGCCCAAACCCTTAACACAAGGCCTGAGGGGGACCCAATGGACAGGGTCAAGTGTGGAAGTACAACATTCTGAAAAACAAGTATCTGTTATCCTGCTTAGTACCACACCTCAGGGCAAGGCAGACCAGGGGCCATTATCTTGGTTTTCTGCACCCCAAGATGGCAGCAAGATAGCTCTTGTTTAAAGGCACAGAAGAGCCGCAGTTCAGATAAAGAAACCAGAATAAACCTTCAGCCTGGGATATGATGTAAAATGAATGTACCAAGTTAACACTGAAAATAGTCATAATCATTCTAAGAAAAACCATTTTCAAGGGAATTTAGCAGAGAAATTAACCAAAAGAGGTATAAACACAAAATTTGCCTGAACCACATCAATTTGCTAAACCCACACTTGGGATGCTTATTGAGACAAAGCAAGTAAGATACGAATTTTAAAAAAAGAAAGCCAGTTTTCTGAGCCTTGAAATATTATGTTTTGGGTGACAATTTATAAAAGAACTACAGTCCTTGAAATATATGCTTTGGGTAACAATTTATAAAAGAACTACACTCCATTTTTGTAAAATTACCTTTGAACACTTTTGACTGGGGTAGACCAATTTAAATTCCTAAAAGCTTTAGATGAGAACAAAACCAAAATAGCCTCCCAGTTCCTAATTTCCTCGGTTTCCTGGGAGCTGCCATCATCTCTAAAGAGAGAACACTGCCTCCTCCCCGCCCCCATGATCTGCCACAATCACGGTCACAATCCTAGAGCTGTGCCCTTCCCAAAATGATTGAGAGTGGCAACCTGCAATGTGAAAACATCAGGACATCAGCATGTGGCTTGACCAACCATGTGGCCTGCCTGGACCAGGCTGTCACACATCTGTCTCACACAGCACTTCCCAAAGTCCAGGCAATTTGGTTCCAATAAATACCCGGCATGGGACACCCCAAGTCCATGCAGTGCCCCTAGGGCTGCGCCACACTAGGACTAGTTCATTCTAGGTCTCTGTTCCACAAGACTTCCAGAAAATGTTTGGCATCCAGTCACACCCTGGATCACCACATTACCACAGCAATGACAGTTATTATTCTGTATTAAATGCCCACTGGTGGGTGAACTGGTGTCATGAGGATTAAATGGTCACAGAAGCACAAGGAGACTATAGCCAGTGATCCCCCAGAAGGAGAAAATAAAGATTGAAGTGGGAGACAGGGAGAGGGGAAAAGAATGGGAAGGAAGGAGATGAGGAGAAATCTGCCAAGAGCAGGTGGATGCTGATCAGGCCTGTGCCCCTGCTAAATGGTGGCTTTTTAGGACTTAATCTCATTTTTACCCACATTTAAAATGAGGTTAAGTAATAAAATTCACCCAGCACCCCAAATTCAGCATGGCTTGATGTGAATATTTTCTAAGGGTTTTTAAAAATTATTTATTCATTTGAGAGCGAGCGAGCTCCAGCAAGAGTAGGAGCAAAGTGGGAGGGGCAAGGTGAGAGCAGACTCCACTGAGCAGGGAGCCTGATGAAGCAAGGGCTAGATCCTAGGACCCTGGGATCAAGACCTGGGCAGATGTTTAACGAATGAGCCACCCAGGCGACCCATGATTTTTTTTTTCAGATGTTCCAGCTACACATCTGGGGTAGAAAACAAGTCTCGTTGTCTCTACTGTCTCAAGTATCTCCAATGAATATTTCTTAGGAGAAAATTCAAAAAAAATTTAATTAGGCTCCAAAAATTTACAGGATCATCCAATTTTATGTACAGAATATATAGAAATATGGATAATAAAAGTGTCTGAAAGTGTATACACTCAGTTTCAATTCTGTGCTTCTCTCTCCAGAGGCCACAGTTCCTTACACTCTTACACTTTGTACCTTCTCTCTGGGAATCACATCCACTTCCATGCCCTCAATTACCATTCATCCTCCCTGTGGCTCCCTAATCTTTTTCTTTTTTTCCCCCTCTAAGTGCTCCCTGAATACATTCAAATGACAATAGGCTGTCTTCATCTTGACATCACAAGGATTCCTCAAACTCAATTTATTTTAAGTGGATTAGTCTTCCCCTCCCAAATCTTTTTCTCCCACCTAGTTGCAGAGCAAGAAAAATCTTAGCTGCCTTTTCCCCGAGCACATCTGTAAAACTAGTGTCAAATGAGTCTCCACTTTGGACGTGATTCAATAAAGTCACCATATGCAACAGCTTGAAGCCAACCAGTTCCTGACCCTTTCATCTAATATAGACAACATTAAGGTAAGTATGTGGAAGCCTGGGGCTGAAAGCAGATGGTCACTGAACAGAGGATTTTACCCTTTCCTGATCTATGTTGTGGAGGCCGGTGAGATCACATCTGAGGAAACACTGAGTCCTGGGAAATAAGAAAATCTTATTCCTCTGAGAAATTATTTTAACAGTTGTTTTGCAGGAATGACAGAACTCTACATACTAGTCACTTAATAAATGCTAACCTTTATTGTTATTATTTATTAAATGACACTGACACATGGCAGAATTCCCCCAGCAAAACAAAGGTCAACCAAAAAAAAAAAAAAAAAAAAAAACTATCAACCCGGCATTCTAGGGAAATAAAGGTGCTCATTTTTCTTAATTAACTGCTCTGTACCAGAACATTCGAAGTATTTTGCATGTATTATTCAATTTAACCTTTATGACAAACCCCATCTTCATCACTCATCCAGCATTGCAGAGAGAAACTTCAACCCATCTCATTTTTAATCTCAATTGTTTTCTACTCAGCACATGTACTACCCACCTGCTTCATTCCCAACACTTCCTTTTTCAAAAATTTCCCCCAAAACAATGTTCATTTTATACAAATAACACACAGATGAATAAAAAGCAAAAAGGTAAATATCACTAATTATCCTTCCACTCAAATATACCAGCTACTGTTTGGACAACTATAATTCCATAGTTGTGTCTACCTTAAAATGTTTTACTATCTTCAAAAAGAAATGAATCTTTCGATGAACACTGCTATCTAACCTACCTTTCTCATTGAACAATGCAGAATATCTTTTCCTGGCAATATGGATTTGACTCAACATAGTTATATACTATGTGAATGTTCCTTAATTTATTGAAGCAATCCAGTGTGTTAGACACTTAGGTTGCTTCCAATTCTTACTGTTTTGGACAGTGCTGGGATGAATAGCCTTGTCCAAACAGTCTTTAGCCAATTATTCAATTATTTCCTCAGGACAAAGGGTTTACATACTTTAAGGCTTATATCTGTATTACCAAATAGCCTGCCACAAACCCGTACAAACTCAGTGTAAACTCATTCCTACCACCAGAGTTTGGTAGGATCCATTTCTCCACACCCTTGTAGACACTGCACAGCTGGTGAGAGAGAGACTGCTATATGAATTCCAATTATCCTTTCTAGTCAAAAATATTTAATGGCTCTTGGTGTTCTGTGGGATAATATTCCAACAGCTCTGCACAAACTGACTTCACTCAGCTTTCCAAACTTCCATTCCCCTCCACTCTAAGTAGACTGTCATAGGAAAAGGGTTCCTACCTCCATGCCTTTCTCAGCCTAGTGTCCCCGCACTCCCACTCTTGGAAAGCCTAACGACTTACCCTATTCTGGACTTACTTTTGTTGGTCGCTTCCTCCAGGAATCTATAGCTGACTGTTACATCCCCCAGAAGCCTTTGCTTCCTCTATGCTCTGAGAACACACATTTGACAATGAGTATATGCTCCAGATATTCTGTTATCTTTTTGTTTGCGTATTTCTTATCTCTCCAACTAGATTATAAAACCAAAGGACAAGGATGGTCTCTTTTTTTTTTCTTTCTTTTTTTTTCAACATTAACACACAACTTTATTGATGATACACAAAGTTAATGCAAATGACAGGAGGGAGCTTACTTATGACCAACTGGTTCACTGTCACGCAAAAGAAATAGTAGAAATATTTCAATCTACGTAGCGGGATAAAAAGCAACAAACATGTTTTCAGAACAGGTAGTGATGTTCATTCACCCAGCTTAGACCTGAAAACCAACTCAGCTAAACATCGGCATTGATGATACAATGATATTCATCACTCAAAATTGGCAGCTGAAAGGGTTCCTTTACCATATAAACAAGGTGGAGAAAAAGGAATAGTTTACAATGTGTGTCGCTTCTAAACTACAAAATCAAGAAGTTATTCCTGGGTCTTTGGGAACATATGCTCAGCTAGTTTGGCTATGAATTTTCCAACCTTTACTTTCACCAAAAAATCATGGTGACTTTCTATCCCCAGAATCTTGTCAGCAGACACTTGAAATTCTTTTAGAAAGAAAAACAGTGAACCTTCGCTGAATGGATTCTGAGTAGGTTCATTTTCTTCCCATTTAAAATTGTCATTTATGTTCTCAAATATGACCAGAAGTTTAAGAATAACCTCTTTGTTCTCCTTCTTGTTAAAGAGGGAACCAAGCGAAGATGGCACTTGGGCCCTGAGCAGTTCTCTAGCCATGGCTGGATTTTCAGCCAAATTCAAAAGGAGTTTCAAAACCTGAAATTTGGTTTCTTCGTTTCCCGCTGAAAATAAACGAAAAAAGTCTGAAATGGAATTAGCAAGCATGTGCTGATACTCATTAGTAACAGTCATATTTGTAAGCAATCTCAGTCCAGCCAGCTGCACTGATGAGTTCAAGCGAGAAGTGATTGTGTCATCACACACTTGATTCATGTATATCTTAAGCCTGCGCTGATTTTCAGCATTCACACTCAAGTTATTCAGGACAATTAAAGCCTTTTCCTTAACTATGGGATCCCGAGTATTGAGAATCTTTGCTACAATTGGGAGACCACCCAGATCACGAATAATATCTCTGTTAAATGCATAAGCAGCATTGTTACCCAGAGCAATTAAAGCTGCTTCAAGAATATAAGGTTTTTCAGACATCTCCACCAAGCAAAGAACTTTCTGCAGCTCCTGAGGGGACAAAATAGTATCGTCTGAATTAGGGGAAGCCCGTTTCTGAACAGCCCTGCGAGCCCGGGTAGCTCTGGCCCTTGCTCTGGCCCGTGCTCTGGTTCCGGCCTCAGTCCCAATCCGGGCCCAAGGTGGGTACCACACTATACCCTTGTTGTCACTGCTGTCATCATCGTCATCAGACCAGTCATTGTACCGGGCCCCAGGGCAGTCCCCAACATCATCCACATCCCCAGACCCACCCTCAGCCATTTTCTCCTTGTTCTGTTTTCTTCCCCGGGTCAGTCTATAAATGCAATAGCAGGCTCCAGCGCCAATCACCAGTCCCGCAGTCACCCAGCCTACTTTCCTGGCGTAGCCCATGCAATCGTCCCTGACAATAGCAGGGACCAAGGAACAGAGTATTCAGTCAGGCTGGGAGAGGAGGGCTATGGGCCTGCGTGCAGGCCTGTGGAAAGTGATCGTCTTCAGCCACGTCAAGGCCACAGTAGCTGATACTGGAGGTGGACCTGGGAGTGGAGGAAGGAAATAGGGTTTAAGTTTCTCTTTTGTGTTGCCCCATGCAGAGAGCTGCACAGAAGGACAGGAGAGTCATAAATGAGTAGTTGGTAGGAAACGTAGATTGTTAACAAACCCTCTATATCCTCCTCCTTTCAGCCTCCCTCTCCCCTCCCCAGCCCACCCTCTCCCCAAGCTTAGATAAAGGCAATGGAGCCCTTAGTCTCTGCTGGGCCCTCAGCCACCCCAACCTCGGGTGTCCCCAGGGAGTGGCACTGTTGCACTAACCTCCTCCAGACAGGCAGTTTGTCCCTTCTTCCCTCCCCTAGAGGTGTGCCACGCCCAACAACCCTCCTAGTCTGCAGAGAAACCAGAGCCAGTGAGAACTGAGGGCTTGATGGATTGATTGTTCACTTTCGTAGCCTTCCTGATTCACCATTCAGGCTGTCAGACTTTTTTTTAACCTCTATTCCATCCAAAACATGCAGAAGCCTGCCCCTTCCCTAACCTGAAAAGGGAGGGATATTAGGGAAATAAGGTAGGATTGGGTGAGCTTGTCCAAATGTGGCTGATTTCCAGCCCCTCCCCCATTCCAGGCAGCCCCCCACGCCTACACCGACCTCTACTGATCCGAGGAAACTTCCTCCCTCTCTTCAAGTGGTGCCACCTGCTACAGCAGACCTGCAGGATGACAGATCGAAAACATGGGGACTAAGTGCTGTTGAGAGAGGAGGATTATGAACAAACTCTCTGATAGGTTTTCCTTCTGTCATTCTCCCCAGCCCCCACTCCCACGCCCCCCTCCCGCGACACACACACACAAACACACACACCCCGAACGCCATTTCACCACAGTCCCAAACGTGCAAGAAACACACTCAGCCTCAGCCCTAACCTAGATTATTGCCATCTCTGGCTTCTCCCTACCCCCGCCCCACCCCCGCACCGCCCGCCCCTCTTAGGGTCCCCAGATAGTCTTACCCTCAAATCGACCTTCACCGATTGGGGTTAATTTCCTTCCTCTTCTCTTGCCTGGCGTAGTGCCCAACCTACGGAAAGACTGGCAACCCAGAAGAGGCTCGGACCCCCTAAACACAGAGCCATAGTCAGGAAGACACAGCCACAGTCAAAAAGACGGGAAACGGCCGCTACTAAGCGCTTGGTGGACGACCAGTCCCCAGAACATGAAACTCTTTCCTAATTCAGAGGCCTGGTTGTCAAAGGTTTCCCACCCCTATTAACCCCTCTCAGGGCTCTGCCGACAGATATCCCGTTGTACCTTCCCCCTCCCCAAATGTCCAGCCTTTCCCCTCTGGCGCTGTCCTGAAGGACTGGGGGCCAACACCCAGGCCACAGCTCCTTTTCCGGATGACGGCCTCGGCTCCCAGCAGATTCCCAACTCCCGTTCTCTGGGCTCCTCCCCAGACAGCCCCCCGCTCACCATTTCGCAGCATCGAAATGGGCTGCGGGCGGGACAGATGTCTTGGAAAGCTGGCGGAGAGTGGAAGAGACGGCGGAGACGCCTGGGGACCCGCGACGGTCTCCGCCCTACGCCCTTGGCCCCCCGACCTTATGGAATCTCCCAGGCACTGACCTGCAAGAATCCGGGACAATTTCCTTCTTCTCCTCCTCCTTCCCTCTGCCGCAGGCCCGCTGGCCCTCAGGGCAATGGGGAGCTGGTACTCAGACGGGAACAAGGACCAGAACAAGAAGGACTTCTGCACACGTCAGCTCTTGGTCACGTGAGATCTACGTCATCCACCAACTCGGGTCCCTAATTTCCCCTCCCACCAGCAGTGCGGCAGAAGAGGGCCCGCCCCCCTCCATTCCCTCCCCCACACCAGGCCTTGTTACTCTTTCTTCTTTGCTAATCCCATCTCCCCGTAGTAGTTGTGTTTGCCTTCCTCGGATTACCAGGAAGGGACAGCATCTTCCCCTGGGGCTACTGGCCACTTGTACTTTTTGAAAAATTGCCTCTTCCTTCCCTAAGCTCCTGGGACAACAACCTCTCCTTCAACCTCCCCTCCTCCCAGCTATTAATGTCTACCATTTCCTCTGAAATCTAGTCCCAGATCTGAAATGAAAAACCATTAGAAAAGGAGACCTGGAGTGAGAGTATGTGTGTGTTTTTTTTAACTTTCTTAATACTTTTTTTGTTCTTTTTGTCCTGCCCTCTCCTGCCCCCAGCCTCCATTCTTTTGTGAGAAGAAAAATTACTATAAAGCTACTCTCATTTGAGGGGGAAAAAAACGAGTGGGAGTTGGAAGAGTGATTTTGGGTGATGGCCTCCAAAAGCCCCACATTTTCTCACTCGTGGGGAGTGTTACACACCTCACTCCAAACAATATTAATGTCTTGAGGCCTAGCACATAACACAACCCTGAATGAGCTCATTAGAGTGTCTAAGATTGCATAAATCTTCTGACTAGGCCAGGAGCTCCTCTAAACAGGAGCGTGACAGACTTTCACTTGCATGGCTTAGCAAGGAAGAGGCGTGGAGCCCTCAGAAGGTAGTAATACAGAGAAGGTTGAGCAGGAGTCACAGCTACCTGGTGGATATCTGTCCAAAAAGGCATGCACACTGACAAAGTAAGTAGCATAAAAGAACATTACAAAATATACTTGGATACAGATAGAGAATATCACCTCTAAATAAAGTATTAGGGGAACATTGAGACCAAGATAAAATTGGCTGAACTCGGCCTCTGGCCTCTAGTAATTAGTGTGGAACCATTTCACTGACTGCTTTGGTGAGCTCAGTGATTCACCAGTCAGCAATGATTGAACCTTTTTTTATATTGGGAAAAGTAATAAAAGTAATGTCAGAACATTGGGATCTACAGTGAGATTGTCCTTAATACTTCAGATATAAGGTAATTATCTGAGTATAACTTTTACAATCCACAGATAATACGGGAGTAAATCAAGTGACTGGAGAGTTTGGGAATAGGCAGAACTCCAGAGAAGTTCTGTGTAACTTCTAGGAGGCAGTATAAGGATCTGACTGAAATTTAGCAAACAGAAAACCACATCAGCTATGTGATTCTGGGTTCAGAGAAAGATCATGTGCAGCATGGGGCTTATTCAAGCATGGGAATGTATGAAAAGAAGTGTCAGAAGAAAGTGATGGTAGCTCCCACCCAAGTGCCGTCTGGGGAGAGGGAGTCCTGGCTAAGATGAATGGAACATTCAGCTTTCCTTGGCAGAGCCATCCCCATAATGTGTAAGGGTCCTTCGGACTCTCTTAATAGAAAGCCACTTCTTAAGGTGAACCAAGGCCCTTGCTCTGATTGCAGGTTCACCAAGCAACTTCTGAGGTTGCTTGCTTCTTAAGTAGTAGCTTGCTTACAGAAAGAATGGACTGTACAAATGGACAGAAACATCCAATACCCTCTGACAGTTGTATTTTTCAGGGTAAATCATTCAGTTGTCACTCTTATTGGTACTTAGCTTCCCTTTTGGCCCACTTAAAGAGAAGAATGCAGAGATGCGTTCGGGTGTTCAGATCTAGATTTACATGTAAGTCTCTGTGAATGGGAGTCTTGACAGAGACCTCGCTTTCAGATAAAGTCAGGGCTTGATCATGCAACAACCAGGGCAAGACACTAAACTATAAATACAACCCTGTGGAATCCTGTCAGGAAAGCCAGGTCAGTTTGACTTAGAATACAATCCTGTGCATCACGATTTCTGAACTGTACCTCTCTGATGTTTAGTGAATGTGAAAAATCACAACCAAGACATTTTGTGGCACATAGGCCCCCAGCATCTCGTTTCATAGCTGGACAACGGGTTAACATCCAAAGTCCTTAAAAGGCTCCAGCAAATCAACCCTCTGAAACAGTTTAAGTTTCTCTCTGGGAAAAGAAAGGAAGTGCATTTAATGTTTTACACCCCCCCTTTTCCCTTACATCCCCCTTTTTCCCCCCAGCAAAAGGGTGGGTATTGTGCCCAAAGGAGACCAACTCCATACTCTCTTACTAAAATTTAAATCTTGAATACACATTTTAAAAAAACAGCGGAAGGATGACATCCTGAAGAGACTTTCTGTGAATTCCTCCTGCCTATCCCCCTCAGAGCTGACCCTGGTCTGTAACACTCCCTCGTTGTTTCAGTTAAATCAGGTTTGGTTTCTGTTGCTTGCAACCAAACAAAATTAACTAATACAAAACACAAAAACAAGTAACACGATACAAAGAGTAATATTACTTTTTAAAATAAAAATCTTCTCTCTATATTTTTTCTCACTCTCTAAATCCCATTAGTGTTAGCATCTGCCTATCCTTTTTTATTTGGGGGCACTCTCTCAGATAACTATCACTTGGGACCACATACCAGTTTGAGCCAAAAGGTTCCTTTCAGCAGTGGCTTCATATAGCCTTCTGCAGGCTTAGGAGCTTTTAACAGGCTTGTCTGAGGAACTGCTTAAGGATTTTCCTTTTTTGCTTTTGAAATGGTTTGTCAGGCAAATAGCATGCCCTTAAGTACTTGTTGATGGGTGTATAATGGAGAGCAAAGTAGATTTTAAATGGCAGTTTTTAGGTTCCCTGGTAGAAATTGTAGATCTAAATGACAAAGAAGCGAGGGAAATTGACAGGCTTATCATTCCCATGGAGTATAGGATGTTTTAGAGAGGGAGTGGATTCAAACGGGAAAGGTCTGGCGGGGAAAAATCTGACAGACTGGGAAAATGATGGCCGGGAGTTACACATTGGATTGAAATAACCGGAAAACATACCAAAGTGGGGGAGGGAGATATTTTTTACTTGTAAGGAGAGGGAAGAGTGGCACTTTTGTCCTTAAAGCTTTGTTAAGCTTTATATACTCCTTAGTTCTTTCTAATGTATACATTCAAAACAAACCAAAGCCACTTATATAATTACCTAGCAACTAAAAATTGAATGATGGACAGTTAGATTTGTCAGTAAAGCTTCATACATAGAATTCGCTTGTCTAGGAGAAGAAAGTAAAGGGAGACAAAAAGAACAGTGGAGGGAGATGATGCAGAACAACAGCGGTAAGCTGTTTTTTAGAGAAAAGGGTGTGATACTAGTGAAGGAGTTTGGACTATAAAAGTTTTGAGGAAGAACAGAAAGTTGTGATGTGTTCTTGGCTTTTGAATATTCACCAGCAAGGCACTCTGGGCTCCCTGGCTTACCTCTTGAAAGGGCCTCCCCCACACAGGGGCCCCTCACAGGGAGAGCTTCCTGCTGGGGTGTCAGATTTCAGCATTCAAAGAAAGAGGCTGCCTAAAGGGTCTATATTTAGAGTATGACTCCCTTGCAGGGACAGCTGAATGTCTGGGGACTAACTTCTGCATACTTTGTCCCTGAGTTCTGGGATTATTCTGAGGGGCTTGTATGGGTGGTGCAGTGAACTTGTAACAGAAGGCAGGGAGTGAAAAGGCCTCTCTCAGCCGGTGGTGACTGCTTGGCATCCTGTCAACTATGCTTTTCGTGAGGGAAAAATGGCACAGATTTCAGGGGTGTCGAAGTGATTCACAGTCACCCACAGACCCTCAGCACTGTCTCCACTGGAAGACGCTGAGCACTAGTGGCTGTTAGGGTGACAGACATACAGTACCTGAAAAACAGATCCTGGAGCTATCTCACCAGTGTCATGATTAAATGAAAATTATGTCTGTTGAGTCTCATTTTCCTCAGGGGGTGTTAATAACAGGGACAACTCTGATTTATGGATTGTTTACGAGTTACACCATGAAACTTCAGCATAGATTTTAAATAAAAACTTCTGAATGAAAGACAGGCTAACCTGCAAGGTTACTAATTTCTGAAGTTCACCTGAACGGTAAAATTCATCTGAATTTAGAGTCTGCATAAAGTTGGCCCTTTGAAGCCAGAGTGAAAGCCATCCAGCGATCTTCTATGAAGTTCTCAGCCATCTGACACTTAATACTACAAGAATAAGAAAGGCATAGTGATTCACTTATCAAAAATTGCCACAATTAAAACACTGACCACCTCACTATAGATTCCACCAATTCATAAATCATCTGAAAGCACACTGGTTCTGTTTGTAAAGGTATGCATTTAAATTTTAATACGCTGTTTGAAAGCTGCTATTTCCTGTGCAATCAGTAGAAAACATTTTCAACAGTGTACAAATTAATTTAACCAAATCAATGAGGCCTCTCTATTAACTGGAAAATCTTGTTTATTACACACACACGTACATAACTTGAATTCTTTTTTCTCCAAGTGAAATAGATTTATCTTATTTTCTGGTTACAAAATAGTCTAGTTTGAGTCAATAAAAAAGGAAGGATGAAATAGAACATAAATGTATGAAAAATTTTAATAAAAACCTCACTGCTACTTGAGCTTCCTTTTATGCCACTTCCCCCCCACCCATTTTGGTACAGAGACTGGATGTGCAAAGGGGTAGAAATTAAGGAACGGGCGGGGAGCAGGCGTTTCATAGCCAAGGAAAGGAGAAGAAATTTCCCCCCAGAAGAAGTAATGGCAGACCCACGAAAAGATGCGGCCCCTTCGTATACTTAGAGAAAGGCAAATTCAAAGACGAGAGAGCCACGGCCATTTCTGGCTCAATAGTATTGTTATAGAGGAAAGGAGTGACAGGGCCCAGTGCGAAGGTGGGAGGTACCGGCCGGCTGGCGCCTGCCGCACTGCTTGTGGGAGTGGAAATTGGGGGCCAGAGCTCACTGGTGACGTAGTCGTCACGTGACCAAGAGCAGCCTAGAACCGAAGTCCTGCTAGTCGCCTCCGTCTGGGTACCAGCCCCCTATTACTCTGCAGGCTTGTGAAGGAAGAAGGAAACTAGCCCCGGACCGCGAGGTCGGTACGAGCCTGGGCTCCTGCTTAGAGGCGGGTGGGGAGAGGAGAGGGCCAAGGGCGTCCCGGGTCCAGGTTCGGGCTCAACTGGGCTGGGTCCCCTTCCCGCCTACTTTCTAAATACTGTCGCCCCCCCCCCCCCCCCCCCTTGTGCCCATTTAGTAGAGAGAACCGAGGGACTTCGGGGGTGGGGGGCTGAGGGGAGTGAATGGCGGTAGACAGACTCCGAAGAAAGGTGCAACAATCACGGTACTCGTGTCCCGAGTCCTGCTCCGTCCACCAAGCACTCCGTCCCCTCGGTTTCCTGCCTGTTTGCAGGTTTGTAGGTCTGTTGGCCCATAGGTCGCCTCAAACGTCGTGCCGAGGGAAGGAGCAAACTGCCCTGGGACTCTGCAGGTCCGTGTGAAGGTGGGATGAGACCTGGACCCTGGCTGGGGGTGGCGTTGGGGGTGGTGGAGGAGGAATGGCTGGGATCTGAGCGGGCCGGGTCCGAGTCGCCCTCTCCTGGCCCCTTCTTTCTCCACACCCCCTCCCATTTCAGTGCAGGGAAAGGGGTGTGGCGGCCTTTGCTGGGGAAATGGCGGACGATAAGGGGGCGGGGGGGGGGGGGGCGGTGCGGAGGAACCGGCATTTGGAAAGTCCGGGAGGTGTGAGAAATATTTTAAAGTCAAAGGCTGAAAATGCAGAAAAGCGGGTATTAGCACCCGCGTTCTCAGTGCTGATCCATCCACCACACTTTCAGTTCTCCAAAGCCAGCTATCTGTCTTTCAGACTTCTTTCAGTCTTCTGCCAGACTGTCCACCAGTCTCCGCGGAAGGAGTGCTGACAACAGAAGACAAGGGAAGAAGAAATTTACCTGACTTTGGTAGAGGTTGGTGGGAGAAACCTACCTGTGAATCTTTGGGGAAGGGGTGGCAGTGGAGGAAACTACCTGAGCCTTTGCCTCTCCATGTCACCCTCCTGGCTATCATAGCACAGCCCCAACCCCTGCCCTTTTCTGTAGGGCCTGGAAGAGAAATGGTGGGTCGTGGGGGTAGATAGAGGATGACAAAAAGGAACAAAGAACTAGTTTCCTAATAATCAACCTCTCTCAACCGGAACTCAAATTCCACTCTGTTTGTATAGTGAGGCACAAACTCAGACACAACACAACGCCTTAATGCCATTTTGCACCCATAGATTCATCGCAGGAGAGCTACAGGAGCCCAGGAGAGGCTGAAGAGGACTGCTGCTCCACCATTACTCACCCTGGCCCTCAGAATCCTCCTGAATCAGGTGGAACAAGGCCCTCTCCTGTCCTGTCCAAAGGCTGGCACGGACTTGACCATGGGCAGGGCTCGGGAAGTGGGTTGGATGGCAGCAGGACTGATGATTGGGGCTGGTGCCTGCTACTGTGTTTACAAACTAACCATAGGAAGAGATGACAGTGACAAGTTGGAGGAGGAGGAAGAGGAATGGGATGATGACCAGGAGCTGGATGAGGAGGAACCTGAGCTTTGGTTTGATTTCACAACTATGGCTCGGCCCTGGAATGAGAATGGGGATTGGACTGAACCAGGGTCCCCTGGTAGCACCGAGGACAGGCCCTCAGGTGGGGGCAAAGCCAACCGAACACACCCAGTAAAACAGCGCCCATTCCCCTATGAACATAAAAATACTTGGAGCACTCAAAGCTTTAGAAATTTCAGGTGTGTACTTGACCTCTCTAAGTGTCCTTTCATTCAGGGAAAAA